ATTTCATTGATATCCCAAATCGTTTTTGTTTTATTTAAGAAAACTTTTGTAGCGCTCTATATCAGGATATATTACAATTTGCGAGCGGATTTGATATTAAATTTCCGAACTTGCACTCCTTGGTACTTTTATACTGAATACGGTATATTATGTTTGCCACGATTCCAAAAGGGAACATTGGGGACCCTATAAAGTATATCCTCATACATAAATGATGAGTGTGACGAGCTGAGTCGATTTAGCCATGTCCGTCTGTCTGTACATCTGTATATGCGCGTATCAGTCGCTCAGTTTTTGCATTATTGACCACACGTCTTTTTCTCATCAAGAAATTATGGGAATGAGAACCGCCGACATTTGGCAACTATAGAATAAAACTGTTATACAAACTGACCGATCCGACTCGAGTCCTTGTATTGAAAACTTTTTATTTTGACAAGGTATCGTCACGACAACGTCAACGCTACAATTTCCGATTGAAGAAAACGATTTTTTTATACCGCTAATTGTTCATTGAAGCCGAAGTTAATATTTTTCTTGTTCATTGTCACATGAAGAACGTCTGGGAATAAAAAGAATGTACTATATACATTTTGCGGTTACAAGTTTTGAAAAAAAAAAACAAAGCTATTGAAATTATCATAAGATTTCACAATTTCCTACAGGATGCACAAAAATTGTGAATTACTGGTGGGTTTCGATTACATATGTGTATAAATATATTTCATATGTATAAACCAACATTCAAATGCACAAAAATTCAGGCATATACAAAATATCACATTTATTAACATATATCGACCGCTCTTCTATGTAGTTAATTCCGTAATGCGTGCAGTAATTGTTTTCAATTAGATTACGCGCAAATTGAAAACTAAGAACCGTTAAATATGAGTGTTAACTGCGCGCTTTGTAGTATGCGTTTTTTATTGCCTTTTTACTGATACTCATTTTAACACATAGTTACGATTAWCGTGCAACAAATGTAGGACAGACATTGTTAGTACAATAATTAGAAGTAAATATTAAAAATTAAAAAAAAAAAATTGATATTGAATTGTAGATTACAAGAGCGCAGAAACAACTTGTGTAATATATCATGCTGATAATCACAATGTAATTGTAATGACATTATGCTTTAATGACTGTATCAAAATGGGTATTTATGTATATTAGAAATAAATTTCTTCATTATTACTTTGATTGTTTGACCTTGCCACCTTTTCTGATACAGAACGGCGTAAGTTTGTAGGCGTTCAAACAGACGAATGAATTTACTGTATATTTGTGTAATGTATTGAAAATTTAATTATACACACACACACACCCGCCAATGTATGCGTAATCGTGTAAATCCTTGTCCTTTGCCAACAAGCGAGGCTATGCCGGCAGCATTTTTTTGCTTGGACTTTACTATTGTGGCGTGTTGAATGGTCGTAACACAAACGGTGTGGAACATTCCAATTTAGGTTTTTACAGTTACATATTATATGTATATAATGGGCAACAATGTTTACCCACCTATTGTACAAACAATGGCGCATGGCTATATAAGCCCGTGTTTAAAYGGTTACATATTAGGCCGTGCTGCGTGTTGCATGCATGTAAATTTGTGCCACTGATTCTTAATTAGATTTGCTTGGCTTTTGGTCGTGGTGCAAACCGTTAAGAACAGCAACAACCAATTCGCACTGAACTCATTAGATACGACAAAGCAATGCTACAGTTTTCCCTTGACTTATGTAATTGCATTTCGATTTGTGCATTTTAGCTGATTAAGAACATGTGCACTGATGAGCGGTCGGTCGGTTATGTGGCAAATTCATGTAAATATGTAGGTATGTAAGAATATCAATGAATGAGTGTACTTACATATGTCTGGCGCATGAGTGCGACTATATCTATATTAAAAAACATATTTTGCTTTCTAAATATGTTTCTATGTATGTATGTATACGGAATGCGCGTAAAACTGTTTACGTTTAAATTTAAGTAGGTATGTTGCTCTAATTATAATCACAATGTTTTTAGAAATTCATAATGGAATTTTAATGACTAATAAATCGGAATTTTTCGAATTGTGTAATTATGAATATTTAGAAGCACATATTCCGATTTGCTTGTAACGTGAGCAGCTCTTGAAAGTAAATAAAAATTTTCATATCATAAAAAACCTTCCTTCTCAGTTTAATTAACCTCCATTTGGTTTAAGTAAAATTACTTTCATTTTACTGCGACATTATTGCTTTTGTCAACATAATTAGTTATTGTCGTTTTTATTAATAAGTCAGACTCTAAATAAAATTACATATGAAACAAAAAAAAACTCATAAAGTTTAATGATTTTATGACAAAAGGAGTCTAAGGGAGCAATTTTATTATTATTATTATTATTTTCTTTAATAAATTGTTTTCGAAAATAACTCATGCGAAATTTCGTGTAGATATCTCGACAAATTAAAAGTTTTCCAGAAAGGCATTAATTCGGATCGTAGAGTTTGTATGGCAGCTATGTATATGATAAAGTGACCTGATATCTGTTATTTGGACAAATGAGCAGCTACTTTGGGCGAAAACGACATGTGCAAAATTTCAAATCGATATCTCAAAAACTGAGGGTCAGACGAGCATGGCTAAATCGACACAGCTTGTCATGCTGATTATTTATATAAATATTTTATAGCGCCTCCAAATTTCCTTGTAGGTGTTACAAACTTCGTGGAAAACATAATATATTCTGTTGAGGGTATAAAAATTCAACTATCGCAAAAAATTACTAATACCACTCGTATTCCCTCCCAAATCGCATTACATTGCTGTAATAGAGACTGTGTTTTGAAAAATGCTTTAAATGTTGTCATTCATTGTTGAATTGTTTTCAAAGTATTAATCATAATTAGCTGTAAGGTTTTCGTTTACTTGTGTACTACGGGTGCCTCACTTGACACAATTCTCAATCTAAAATCACAATTCAAATCTAAAGTCTTGCTTTGACATTAAATAAAGTTTGAGCTCGTTACATGYTACAAATATCAGTAGTATCTGCGACCATGGTGTTTTATAAATTTATAAGACTACTAAAGACTCGAAAAGCATATATATGTATATCAATGGTAACCACTTTTTATTGCAACAGCCGACTTAAGTTTTCCACAAAGTATATTGTTAGTAGCTGACAGGGTSGCTTCTAGTCTTGACGAAGTGGAACACGTATATTGTATAAAGTGTAATTGGTTTTTAAAACGATTTGTATGACTAACTACCTAACTTTATACATAAAATTACGAAATGGTCGAAAAAAATTAAAAATTAGTTATCTAAATGTTGTTTTACAATGCATTCCAGAGAAAATTCGCTCAAAAATAGAACCATGAAGGATATGGCGCTTAAAACTCGTCAGGCAAGAGTGCTCGATATCTCTCGAGACCCCATTCGAATGATTTTGGTGGTAAAGCAGAATTTGTTTTTAAAGAGTACCGTAAATAGCTCTCTTTAGATATGCTTGATCATTGAGAGTATTATAATTGAGTTTTGAGTTTGGCATGCAAACAAGTCAACAATCATCGGAATGGAAGGAACAAATGAGCCGAAACCAAAAAATCCACTCCAAAGCCGCTCGAAAATCAAGGGGATGCTCATTGTTTTTTTTTTTTAATTCGTGGTTTGACGGTCAATAAGAAGTTCTATTTGGCCGTATTGAGGCGTTTGCGTGAGAACATATGTCGAAAACGGACAGAATTGTGGAAGAACAATTCATGTTTACACAATGAAAACAAAAAGTGCTTAAGAAAGGTGTTTCGAGGACTGGAAAAATTGTTGGTATAAGTATATTATCTGGTAGTGATTACTTTGAAGGCGAAAAAATAAAATATTTATGAGTAATTAAATATTTTGTATTTTATTACTCAATTTCCGGTTACTTTTTGGTACAATGTATATTCTTCTTCTATTACTTAAGGGTATTAGCATTTCTGATCTTCGTGTTTTTTTTTTCTTTTTGTTGAATAAAAAAATTTAATAAAACCATTGCATTGACGACAAATTTATTTAAATATCTAAAGATTTGCCTGTAATTAAATTAGGCTGAAGACTTCTTTTTCAATATCACATCAATTAAGTGATTGCCTTAAAATATCGCATATTGTTGAAAATAATAAATCATATGAATTTCTAAGCTGATACTTGGACAAATAAGGCAACAAGATTAATTGATGTCATCTGTAGATATTTGCTTTGATGAAGAGTTTGCGAATAAATATGTTTTAGAGACTGCTGTAAGTTAAATTTCAGGAAAATTTTTTTTTTTTATCCAAGTTTGCTTTTTTTCGTATTTCGTATTTATTATATGTTTAATTGGGCAAATCAGACTCTTACGTATTAGGCATATCGGTTGCCACCCAGCCGCGTTCTCTTTTATATACCATATGTTCATATTCTAATCTAGTCTTCAGTCTCAAATAAACTGCGCGACTAAGATTTTTCAATGTCTACAATCAAAAATTGAGTATGAAAACAGGAAAAACAATTTTATTCATGGGTGTGAACTACGCGAATGAATAGTCTAAACCCGTCCGTTTCTTTTTGTCAAACGTGACAAGATGGGTGTTAAATGTCAATAAAACGTCAGTTGATTGATTTGTATGCTGAGAATATTATTTACGAACGTTTTAATGAAGATATAACTACATAGGCGTGTAAGAATGTGAACATTTTATATTTATGCTTAGAAGCATTTGTATTACTTCAATATATGATAACAGATAGAAAAGTGAAGTAGTTTTCTATTGATTGCTGAAAGTTAAGGAATTTTAGAGAAATTATACACGCTGTCTTATATACTATATTCCCTATTAACCAATTTAGATAAGAATCTGAATAAAAAAAAATACAAATAAAACATTTTTGTTCCTTCAATATAAATTTTTGCGTAAATCTCAAAAAGTTAGTTTCGCTATAAGTTTTTAGATCGTAAGTTCCCCTCAACGCGGTTCTTTGCTTACCTTATGGAACTCCACTTGCGCACCATCAGCTATGCCCTCCAATTCTCTGATATATTGTGGAAAAGAATTCTTAACGCTCTCCAATGTTTCGTTGTAAACT